TCTGGAACATAACCCATCGTATTAGCGAGGTTTACATGTAACAGGTTTGAATGGCTCTGGATAGTCAACTTCCGTAGTCAATAACTGCCAATGAGAATCTTTTCTGTGTTTGCAAGAACACCCTGTTGACATCACACACATTGCTGGATTTTCCATAGTGTAGTTTTCAGAAGTATCGTAGCATGCACAGAAACACGAGAATAGTAATGCTAACTTTGGCAAAACTCCCATTTACAGCTTTATATTTTGTCTACAGTATTTAAATTTCTTGCAAAGTGGTACTAAGTTGTAAGAAAAAATAAATAGATAACAGGATAATTTTTCATAACACCGCTATGATATTTGAGGCTTGTATACTTTCTAAAAATGCATATTATTTAGACATAACATTATAGTTCATATTTTTTTTATATAAAATGCAGTATGGTGAAGGCAAAATTAATTTTAAAAAAATTGCTTCCTAATTTTATTAATGCTAATAACTAGAGGAAACTAAATCTAAGTAAAAGCATATTTTTTTTTATTGGGTTTAGAAAAGCAGGACATTTTACATGAAAGAGGATAACTATACACAAATTGTGTATTTTAAAATCAAAAATAATATATGACTTGTGTGGGTACTTTAAGGAAAAAAAATACATTATATTTAAAAGGATACTAGAATCACCAGAACAACTACAGCTTAATGTGGTTGTTTTTGTGAGTATAGCAGATCCCTATAGGCTGTTTAATGTAATGCCTAGGAACACATTTGGTGGCAGTTACTTAGGCGACCACTAGAGGTGCTTCCTGGGTCAGTGCTGCACAGTGTGAAAAACAATGGCATAATATGTTGGAGAAAGAGCAAAGAAAACAACATACATTCTGTGACAAATGCTGCTTTTGCAACTCATATTCAGGGACATAAACTTGTCTTTCAAGATCTTAAGTTTGCCAATTATGATTGTATACTGGTAAAATATCAATGGGAGAATTTCTTGACCAGTCTATTACAGGGATAAAGTGGAATAATGTCTGTACGAGTATTCCACTTGAAAGCAAGATCTGTGAGAAAGTCCTTTACACATGAATCATGTACTTCTGAGTGATGGAGCATCTTTCTCAAAGACCCCTTAACCCAACTGACTATAGGCTACGATGTGAATATTTTATCTATAGCATAAAGCAGCTAGCGATGGAACCCGTATCTGTGCAAAAACAGAAATGGGCAAGTCTTATATTTGACCCAGTAACTTTCCAAAACACCATGAAACCTGGACATGGGGGGTACTGTTGTACTTGTGAGACATTATTGAACACTAATATGAGTGGTTTAGAGCATAACTCGTTCTGCCGATTTGTGCTACAATGTAATTACAGGACCCATCATTGTGACATGCTAAAGGAACTAAACTGGCTATCGCTGGAATCCAGACGCACCCTTCATCTTTCCAGCCTTGTTTTTAAGAGCTTTTCTGGGAAACTCCCACCCTACCTGAACAAAATGCTTTCCCCAGCTATTCCCACTTTCTATAAGCTCCGATCCAGTACAAGCACTTTACTTCTGTTGAGTCTACCGCAATACAAAAAGAAAGCGGCCCAATCCTCCTCCTATAGAGCGCCGCAATTGTGGAACGACCTCCCGCACAATTCAAAATCTTCCCTAAGCCTAATGTCATTTTAGAGATCCCTCTCTACATACCTCAAAACAGAATGCACGTGTCATGGTTGATTATACATTTCCTGCCTGTTCTATGTTAAATTTTGTATATATTGTGTATTAATATTGTTTTTGTATTTTGTTGTACCTAATGTAACAATGCAATGATTTGTGGACCCAGGACATACTTGAAAACGAGAGAAATCTCAATGTATCTTTCCTGGTAAAATATTTTATAAATAAATAAATAAATAAATAATGCTGATGATATCATCGGTGAAATAGAAACATAGAAACATAGAATGTGACGGCAGATAAGAACCATTCGGCCCATCTAGTCTGCCCAATTTTCTAAATACTTTCATTACTCCCTAGTCTTATCTTATAGTTAGGATAGCCTTATGCCTATCCCACGCATGCTTAAACTCCTTTACTGTGTTAACCTCTACCACTTCAGCTGGAAGGCTATTCCATGCATCCACTACCCTCTCAGTAAAGTAATACTTCCTGATATTATTTTTAAACCTTTGTCCCTCTAATTTAAGACTATGTCCTCTTGTTGTGGTAGTTTTTCTTCTTTTAAATATAGTCTCCTCCTTTACTGTGTTGATTCCCTTTATATATTTAAATGTTTCTATCATATCCCCCCTGTCTCGTCTTTCCTCCAAGTTATACATGTTAAGATCCTTTAACCTTTCCTGGTAAGTTTTATCCCGCAATCCATGAACCAGTTTAGTAGCCCTTCTCTGAACCCTCTCTAAGGTATCAATATCCTTCTGAAGATACGGTCTCCAGTACTGTGTACAATACTCCAAGTGAGGTCTCACCAGTGTTCTGTACAATGGCAGTTTATTTGTTTTAAAAAAATGCAAATAATAAATATGAACGCTAGATTTGGTGAGTGGTAATGATTAAATGGCTACTAAGAAAGACTGGATAAACCCTATTTTAAAAACCCTAGGTTGTCTACTTTTCCAAATGGCATACAATGATGGGGGTAATTTCCATTCCTGGGCTGCCATATGATTTCAAAGACACATAACCATCTGGCAAAATTCAATGTGTAAAAACTAGAAAGGGAAAATCCATATATTTGACCCTGTAACTTTCAAAAACACTATAAAACCTGTATATGGGGGGTACCGTTGTACTCATGAGACATCAATGAACTCAAATATGTGTATTTTATTGCAGTATAAGCTAACAGTATTATGACATTCACAGGTAAAATAAAACTCATAACTAAGAAAATTTAATTTCTAAAAATGTTTGTGCTTTTTTAGTTTTTAGTCTATAAAATTATGTTTCATATATAAATATTTGATGCAAAATGAAAACCCTCTTTCACCTGAACAAAATGATATATAATAAGTGTGTGTGCATTTAATATGAAAAAGGTGAATTACGGTTGAATAGTAATATAGACATATAGTCAAATTCTAGGGTTTGTTTCGATTTTGTTTTCATCAGAACATGTACAATTGCCTCCATCCTTAAAGGGTTAAATATACATATATCTAACCTATATTCAATCGTGTTAGTTTCAGACGGTAAAGGTATTCTTACAGAATCCACACCCAACGAATGCTGCCAGTTTAGTCAGTTTTTAACTGTTAGAAATAGCGATGGGAAGAGTAAGTGGTGTAATCAACAGTGGAATTTCAGTCAATGCAAGGCATGCCTAAAGAAGCACATGTGAAGAGATTAATTCCCCTATTATCAACAGATATAATTAAAATGGCTACCAAAAACAAATGCAAGCCGTGCCCCAAAATCACAGAATTTCCAGATCCAAGACCAGGAAAGGTATGCTCTTTTATGCAAGAAAGTGCTTTGTGTATACAGCTTATGTTCCGGGTGAATTTGAAGTACAACAATGTAAAAGTTAAACTCAAGAATTGTTATTAGCTTAAAAATAAAAAACTAGGAAAACTGAAAAATAAATCATATTCAAAAATGTTCTTAAATGCAAAAATTGAATGAGAATTGCTAGTGTCCTATCAGGCATTGCTTCAGTAGTTCCACAAGTTCTTAGCATTATGGTAGGAAGTGATGCACTGTGCTACTCTTACAAACAGCAGGACAAAATAAATAATGACAAAACTATAGACAACTCCATTTTATAGATGGAACTTGGACAATTGCTAGATTACGAAACCTTCTCATTGGTTGCGTCCTGCCAACTGATGGTGATCTCCTGATAAATATCGCTCCTAATTTAGTTTAAATATTGTTATTTTGTGCATTTGTGTAAGTTGATACGTTTTTAACTTCAGTTCTTTTGTACATACCCTTTTGCCGGTCTCATTATTATGCAGTTTTATGGGGGTTCAAAACTGTGTGAGGAATCAACGGCGGTGCACTGTTATTTCCACCTCCAAATATATTAGCCAAATATATTTACATTTGGATTTTGTGTATATTGTGGTCAACTCTAAATTGAAACAAATATACAGCCATCTTTTTACTTATTTCTCACTGCAACATATCAGTTAATATATGATAGCACATTGATAGCGAAGTCTCTTAGTCGTAGTCTTGCTCCAGAATTCAAGTATTGTTTCTTTCCAAAATCGAATACATGTTTCTGTCCTCTAGATGGCTCTGTGTACCCTTCTACAAGGTTATATTCAGAAACCTGTGGCAAGATGCTATAGGGATTATTTAGCAATGAATGTGTTAATGAAACCAAGAAATATCCTACTTGGAACATATTGGAAGATAAGTGAATAAAGTATACACATAAACCTGTTTTTATTTTAATGTTTTTATTTTTTCAGGCGGGGGGAGGAGTTAATCGGATGGTAAGATTTAAGGGTATGTGGATGCTTTCATTTTACATCACAATAATGCCTCAAGCTGGAATTAATAAAATGCATGTAAATGTATGGAATTCCAGTATAACGAAGACACAGATCTTGATAATTACATGCACACGCATATAGGGATTTATGTGCACACGCAATAGACATATATTGTATCAGAATTTTTTTTTACAACTATATAAAACACGTGATGAAACAATGAACAGAATTTTAGATTTAGACTTTTATGAAAACGATAAGGAAACAAAAAAATCTATACTGAAAATACTACATGGAGAATGCTTTAAAGCAACATTTACAAATAACCAATATTGACTTATCACTGCACAAGATCACAAAATGTAAACCATTTAAGTTATATTTATTAACGTAAACTCAGTTTTATATTAACCAATATAGATAGTGCAGAGCTGATAGAAATATTATTTATATATCTATAAATCTGAGAGACTCAAAGATTGTTTGCTCACCAGATGAAAGTTAGAAGCCTTCGGAGAAGCAAGTATACAAGCTAAATTAAGTGTGTTTGATGCAGGCTGGTAATAAGTACTACAACTCTGGGCTTCCAGAACATGCTTGTTACCACCACCAAATGCAAAAACAAAAAACAGAATGGCAAGAGCTGGCCTCTTACACCTCCTTTCATAACAGGGACAGAGTATGGCTTCACAAGCACAAAAAAATTATTCAACAGTCACAATTAAACACAAACTGCCCAACGCTCTCCAAACTCAGCAACCAGCGAAACAGACTGTTTCAAGCCCCCCTCAGTGTGAATTGATTCTACTATGGGCCTCTTTTACTCAGCATCTGAAAAGAGGGGGGTGTTTTGAGAATGATGAGGAACAAAAAGATGTGTTGTTTGTCTTAACCTTAGATCATTCGTGGTTGATATACTTGCATATCAAGAAGTAAACGCCTAAAGTGCCATCAATTTGGCATCAGGTGTTCTCCTGATTTTTAACCAAAACAGCATGGCTAGTTGTACTCCCCCACATTGCCTGGTAGATGGTCCAGTCCACAATTTATTCCAAGGAAGACTGACAGTTTTTGGGTCATGAAGCAGCTGTTGAAGTCAAGCGGCTCCCACCCTCCTCTGGAATAAGAAATGAATCCATTTTAAAGTAAATAACTAGAGCTTTGAGTTTACATGGAGAAGAGAAATGTATTCTTTCAAAATAGAAACAAACAGCAAACTTAACCCAGAACGTTTCATAAACCAGCAGATTTCATCACATATTAAATATTTTGTCTAATAAATTTGTGGTTTTATATCTCCCTGTTGTTTCCTGCTACACAACGACTGACACACAATAGTACTGTTATTTTTTTTCTTTTCTACAGCCCCTTTCGTATATCTTGTGTTATGCTTAGGCTGTCTCAAAAAATAGAGTGACATCTTGTTTACTATAAATTATGAAAAAATAAGCAACTTATGCATTATGAATTCTTATTAAATATGTTTATTTATCAAATATTGTAACAAGAAATATAAATGTGACCTGTTTATATAAAAAAATAATGTTGGTTCTTCCGAACCAGTTCTGCATTTTTATTTTTTGAGGTCGGCAGAAATTAGTTAATGGCATTGTTCGGCTTTGATGAATTCCGATATTGAAAAAAATTCGGGTAGACTATTAGGACAATCAGAACAGCTGAATAAATGCCAATGACATACAAAAACAGCTACAATATTGCCTGGCTTAATGGCTACTCAATATCAGATATTTTTGCAATGCCAAAATTAGAAGATTATATCCAGATTAAAAAAAATAGGAAGTGAGAGAACTTACTTTTAGAATAATTGTAATTGTTTTCTTTTTGCTATCCTGTATTAATTAAAAATGGGGAGCAGGAGTAATTTTAAGTTGAAAAAGGGGTATTTATCAAAAAATGAAAGGAAAGAGTAAATTGGCATTTGACCCACCCCTTCCACCTTGACATGAACAAAGCTCTCCCACATATTCAGTTTCAGTCACTGTCCTTCAGCTTGGTTTTTAAAAAAAAAACCACAAAAAAAAAAACCAGTGCCCTATCACCATTACTCTACTTCATCTGCGAAGGGAGCAGGCACCGCAAGGCTCAGGCGAGGCAAATCCACTACAAGTAAAATTTTACTTTCGTCTCCTTCACAAACATCCATGGCTTAAATGGACACGCTAAACATCAAAACAACTTTAGATCAAGTTAGTGGTTTTAGCATATACAATCTGCCCCTGAAGTCTCACAGCTCACTTATTTGTCATTTAGGTGTTAAATAAATTGTATTTCTGTTTATGCAGCCCACCTCCCTTGTTTGTGACTCACACAGCCTACATGAAGAATGTGTTTCATTTTCAACCACAGTGTGCTTATATTAGATTTTTTTTTTTTGCTCATCCCCTGCTTTGTTAATTGAACTTGAATCACACATAGGAGACCTCTGCAGGCTGTTAACAGAGCAGGAGATATGAAAATTCTAAATTAAACAGAATGTGCAATAAAGGAAGTTTAAAATGTAGTTTCTTTACAGGAAGTCTGTAGGGACATGTGTAGGCCACATGCAGGGAAGATGTGATTAAGACTGCATAAACAAAGTGATTTAACTCCTAAATGGCAGATAATTGAGCAGCTAGATTTCATAGGTGTGAGCTAGACACAAATCCACTCCATTAAAAATAAAATAAAATAGTGATGGGCAATTCAAGACCCATTCAACCCTTCCACCCTGGGAAGACAAACTTTCCCCCATAGTCTGTAGGGTCAGTGACCATCCTTCAGTGTGGGAAAAAAAACAGTGATCTATTATCTTCTCCCAGCTGCATCTGCAAAGTGAGCAGGTACCACAAAATTTAGTTAAGCAGGGCAAAACCACTCCAATGAAAGGCACTGAAAAAGAGGGAGCAGCAGGAGTAATTTTATATTTTTCAATGCTGTTGGTGTCCTATTATTGTCCAATCCTCATTCCTCTGTGAGGAGTCAAAGGAGTGTTGGGAAAAAAGCCTATGAATTGCAAAATTCTTTCTACCATACCTGAGGTGGAGTTCCATCATGTGCTGACATCCTTTAATATATGTTTTGTGGGAATCCCTCTTTTCTCTTGTTCCTGCCTCAATAGGTAGCTTTACTGCAGTGGAAATGCCCAGCAATTCTCCTGCAACACTCGAGTATGGTTTCAATAACCACACCCAGGCATAGTGGACTGCCAGCACTGTGCAGTCAAGGAAAGAAAACCATGCAGGCAATAGGAGCACTCCAAAAATCCGAACAGATGAGTACATTTGTTAGCCTTCTGTTTTGACAAGGCCCTGGAATGAATTCCAACAAAATGTTCAGAAGTGGGCTGGTGGACACTTCCTTTGGATGATGAGTAGCCCAACTGTCCCTGTCCAACCTGTCTTTGTCAACAATTGTACTTTCATCAACATGGACATTGCTCTGGCTAAGGGTGGCAGAAGGGGAACAGATATGGCTGCTGCTGTTGTTCCCCCCTTTTTTTTAAACTAGCTGTCATTGTAACCTTATGCTTGTGTTGAGATATTGGTTGCTGCTTGGTGAATCTTATACTATTGAAACACTATTGTGTTTGACTACACTGTACACAGTGCACTGCTTTGCGCAGTGCTTTGACAACTGCCCAGAACAAAGTTAAAGAAATAAAAAAGTCTTTACAAACTCATAATTAATCTTTAATGATACTGTATACTGCCTGCATTCCTAATATTACCACTAGTGCATCCAAACACTGAATATATTACTAAAGTAAGAAACTTGCAATTTCCAAAGCACAAGCAGTGACACAGAAGCATACTGAGAAGCAAATAATCCTCCTCTTACTAGAAGTAAAATAAAATATAAATCATAAATCAGTAAAACAATTCAAAATCTGTGAATTAAATTGGGTGTAAGTGGGACTCGCATTAGCAGCTAGGCAAGAAGAACTTTTTATTTATATTTCATTTATTTGTCTTATATTTCTTTAAGTATCTGGGTGAAGATGGGTCCAAGTATCTTCGACTGTCTCTGTTGACTGCTGGCAATTTCATTAACATCCCCACTGCCCTAGTTAGGATGATGGTAGTAGCAGTGAAGGTAGTGTTGGTGGTTCATGGTGACTACATAGCAGAATCAGATAGAGCACACATGGACGAACCTTCAGCCCTAGTACTTTCTTGTTCTGCTTCTTCCAACAGTAATACAAACGTATGGAATCTTTTCAGATGTTGCTTCATATGGCACTAGTGAGACGACCCTTAATTTTTCCCCTACTCACATCGTTAATGCACAATTTGTATTTTGCCTTCTTTTGGGGCACTCAATGTAAGTGATCAATATTTTTGCTTTGTTAATGCAATACATTAGTTGCCACCTTTTTGCCTTGTGTCTGCTGACAATGTAAAGGGATTTGCGCTGGTAGAAGTTGAACCTGTCACAACATTAGCCTGTACACTAGAACTTGATCGATTATTGCTAAGGGAAATGTTGATAGGCCAGGTGATTAGGTACAGGTGATTTTGATGGTGGTGGTATTGGTCAAGTAACTCCTAGGCCAGTGTTGAGGGAAACAGAATCCTCAGCATTAGATTCAGCCCCACTAACACCACCAACCATCTACAGTAGTAATATTTACTTGGTACTCTACGACATAAATCTCCAAGTCTAATACTACATAGTAACATTGGTACATAGTTACTTAAGCTGAAAAAAGACCAAATTCCATCAAGTTCAACCCTGATGCCCATTCTTTTATTCTGTTTAACCCACAAGAAGGCAAAAACAAATGGTAGCCATTTCCAATCATGCCACAATAATAATACAACCTTCTTGACTCCATAACAGAAGTCAGATTTTTCCTTGGATAAGAAATCTGTTTACACTCATATCAAATATATCCAAATTATCTGTAGAATCTGATAACACAAATGCTTTAGGTGAACAATTTCACATCTTCATTGTTCTAACTGAAGAACCCTTTCCTTTGCTGTATGTGAATGTAACACCTTTCTTCCAGTCTCAAAGGGTGACCTCATGTCTGTTGAATATTGTTTCTAATGAACAAGTTAGCACATACAGACACATCTCTCTTACCAACCGTGTTCTGTTCTTACGACTCGGTTGTAAAACTAATTGGTCGGTAAGTGAGAATGCGCTACAGAGCATGCTCACCAGTGCAGGTCTATGTTCAGGGAAATTTCCCCAAAATTTCCCTGAATATAGACAAGCGCAGCAGAGCAGGAAATCCCTCAAATCTATATTCGGGGAACATAACACAGTAGGGTATTATAATACAATTGCACATTGTTGAATACCATTCATACCTCTGTTCGTCTAATGTGGCTGTGTGAGCGACCTTTATTCTGAGGTTCTGGCGTACCGGGTATGGTTCTAGAGTGCAAGGTGCCCACAGCTTAGCTTGTTTCTGTTTAGAGGAGGTATTACTATGGCGTGGATGTCCTTTAGGGGAATAGACCTAGAGGGGTGGAAGGGTAGCAAGGGAAGGGTGGGGGGGTATTAGTCCTGCCTGGTTGCGCTTGATTCGGTTTTTGTGGATTCTCCTTTAGTCCTATTTTTAGATAGTCTACGTAGGGGTGGTTGGCCCCTCGGCTAGGGGGTTTGGGTTAGGAAATCCCTGGGGGGGTGTCTCCAAAACTCAATCCAGAGCTCCCATGTTTTAAGGTATTTGTACCATCTCCCTAATACTGACCAGTGTATTTCTTCCATTTCTCTCGCCCATTCAACCCGCTGTATCCATTGTTCCCTAGAT